TGGGTCGATTGGTTATGTTTCATATGGTTATGAAACTTTGGAGATCAAATTATATAAGAAAGCAAAAATGAATTAAAAGATAAGTAACAATTACAGGCTCAATCTGTAAATAATTGAAACATATCAGAAGATGGAGTTCTTCATTATCCTCAACACACTCAACAAAAAAAATCCGAAACCCAACACAGAGAAACAAAAAGCAAAACAAGATTCAAATCACTCTTACACAACTTTTATGTGTTCTTTTTTCTTTTGCTTTTTTTTGTTCTCATCTATGGAGCAAAACTAAAGGTAGTAGCTAAAGCAAGAAAATGTATCTCACACAAAAATACAAAGAGCATTAATGCTGTACAGAGAGCTCAAGCATGAGTGGATAATAAGGCAAAGACTCAAAGAGAGGAGGTAGTAGTAATGTAGTACTAGTTCACCTATTTTTTTGAATCAGAACCGGCGATTATTGAAGTTTCGGTTATCAGATTCATTCCTCGTGAACTCAGAGGAGGCTCCGTTGGATCCTTTCCGGGAGCTTTGGACAGAGTAGTCTCCACTGTACATCCCGGAATCTGAACTATCATCAAAACCAAATGCCATTTTCCTGAACTTCATTACATCTGAATTATACTGACCAGAGTCATAAGCACCGCTTTGTCCCACTTTGGTTCCATTGCTGATGTCTCCCATGTCCCCTTCACTGTCCAATGCTCTCACAACCTTATTTTCAAAACAAGTTTTGTTTGAGAAGATTAAGTTTTCAAACTAGAGTGATTTTCTTGCTATGTATGTAAGATTTTATTAGGTATAGTGTTACAACAAAGTTACCTGAACCATGCGTGGACGTTTTGGACCGGAATGCCTAACACAAGCAGCAGCAGTTTCAATCATTCTGAAAACTTCATGCTCCACGTAATGCTTTTCGAGCTTCCTATCAACTAGATCGCTGAAATCGCCAGTCTCAATGGCTTTGTGAAGCAGTGGACGAGCCTGAGAGTTTATGGATTGTGTCTTTTAAGTAACTAGAGCCAAATACGTGTAACTCAAGAAAGGAATGTTTTCAGATTAGTATTTACCCATTCGACCAAGCTTTCTTCTCCTAGAGGTTGGTACTGGTCAACTGGTTTGCGTCCGGTTATAAGCTCTAAGAGAACGACTCCAAACGAGAAAACATCTGATCTATCGGTCAGTTTTCCACTTTGTGCATATTCTGGTGCTAGGTACCTAACAACAAAATCCAAGAAACATAGAGACTTATGTACTACTTTTCAACAATTTAAATGTTGTTGCTAGTTGACAAGATTGTTGATTTTTTGGCACTAAAACATTTCCGAATCGAAAAGAACCGGTTAGACCTCTCTATACACACAAACTAGTTCATCATTTTCTGATCTAGAACTTTGACCACTACTATGAATAGGTTCGCTAATGGAGTAGAGTCTGTGATCAATCTTACCCAAAGGTTCCCATAACGCGGGTCGATACATGGGTCTGTGTTGAATCATTGAGTTTTGCAAGTCCAAAGTCAGCAACCTACACACCAAGAAACAGAAAACTAAGAACAAATAAAGTCTCATCAACTAAAACTTCAGAGCCAAAGCTCCAAACAGAGGAAGTGTTCAACAAAAAAAAAAAAAGAATGGTTTTCTTATTTGCCTGAGCTTCAAATTCATCGTCTAGCAGAATGTTTGCGGACTTTATGTCCCTGTGAATGATTTTTGGGTGACCTGCAAAACCAAAACATACATAAATAAATTACTCTTTGGTTCAGCTTCTCTTTGAAGTTTAAAATGCATAAACATTGGCTTCACACGCGAAAAGAAGTACTTACAATCTTCGTGCAAATACGCCAAACCTTTGGCAGAACCTATAGCGATTCGAACTCTCCTAGCCCATTCGAGGACCGGCATTCCTTTCCCTGTAAGTCCAAAACATATCAGCTACCACACAAGAAAATCTTGTCCCATGAGGAAAAGTTGTAAAAAGAATCTCACCGTGCAAATGATGCTCCAAGGTTTGGTTAGGAACATACTCATAGATAAGCAATCTTTCGACATCCGAAATGCAATATCCAACGAGAGAGACCAAATGTCGATGGTGAACACGGCTAATGATCTCAACCTCTGCCTTAAACTCACGATCACCTTGTCCACTACCAACCTTAAGCTGTTTAACAGCAACTAGTTTCCCATCATGTAATTTACCTTTGTATACGCACCCGAACCCTCCTTCTCCGAGTATGTTTTGCCGCGCGAATCCATCGGTTATCTCCATTAGCTCTTCATAAGTGAAATGTGTTTGGCCACTTCCCATTACAGCTGAATCAGGTGTGCTCCCTGATTGTGCATGACCTCTTTGGCTACCGAAGCTGTTTCCGGTATTCGATTGTTGCTGTGAATTGTAACCACCAGGACCTGAGTATCCTTTTGTCGAATTCTGACCGTATAAAAATCCATCTACACAACATGAAGAAAACAAGAAGACATAAATAAACATTTGTATCTTAAAACAGAACACGAAGATAGATCAAGATTTATTTCACCTGATTTGACTGAGAAATTTGGAGGCATGTATTGTGAGTCATTGTAAGCATCTATGTTTCTCTTTTTCTTTCTTCTTACTAAGAACACGACGGCGATTAAAGCAATGACTGCGAATCCGGCTACTGCCATTCCCACCATAGTCTTCCCTTGATAGCCATCGCCATTTGGAGACGGTGGAACGCTGCTTGGGACTCCCCGAGATGGCGATTTTAGCGGTCCACCTGCAGCGGTGGATTTTGGTGGTAGTGCGTGAGATGTGTTACGCGGTGGCACTGGAGGAGATTTGGTTGGTGCTGAAGGAGCTTTTGTTGGTCCTGGTGGTGATTTTTTCGGCGATGGCGCAGGAGGAGGAGGTAATTGTTCCGGAGGTGGAGGAGGAGAGCTATCGTCTTCATTGGGAGGAGGAGGCGGTGGCGATTCAAACTCTTCTTCCGGAGGAGGAGGTGGAGGAGGGTTGGTTGGCTCCGGCGGTGGAGGAGGAGAAGTGGCATCCGGCGGAGGAGGAGGCGTGGAATCTGGCGGAGGAGGTGGAGGATTGGATTCCGGAGGAGGAGTGGCCGGCGGTGGAGGTGAAAGACTCGGCGGCGGAGGAGATGATACAGGCGGCGGAGATGAATCAGCCGGCGGGCTAGGAGGTGGTGCTGCATCCGACGATGGTGGAGGAGAACCACCGGTTGAGTTATCCGGCGGCGGAGCGGAATCTGCGGACGGTGCTGGTGGGGAAGAACTCGGCGAATCAGACATTACT